ATATAGATTCTTATACATATATCCAAATTATATTTATTTTCTCCTTATACTATTTAATTTCTCTCATATATTTATATAATACAATAATGTCTTATATAATAACAAATTATACATATAATTTAAATATTCTTAATTAGATTATTTACATATTTTTCTTAAAATTGTCTTAAAAACTACTGTCAAAATTGCTATACCATTTCTTAATATATATTTGAAAAAACAATATGAAGAACTATTGCAATAAGTCTGAAAACTTTAGTTGGAAATAGAGACACAAAAATGCTGTCATGATAGCTGTGTACTGTCTCAAAAGTAGTTGCATTAACATGGGAAGGATCCATGTTTGAAAATGCCTAATCAATTTGTGTACCGGCAGGTATAGTTGAATATTCTACACCAAGCACGGAACCAAAGTTTTTTTATTCGAGCAGATTTCATCTCCAACAATTAGCACATTTTGTTTGCTCAACTCAGAAGTACGGACTTCTTGAAGTTCTTCAATTAAATGACTCAAATATCATCAACCAGTCGCTTTTTATATCATTAATGTGAGCATGAAGACTCTGAACATTATGGAATCAAATTTGATGTCCTGATGTTCGGGAATTCATAAAACTGAAACTTGTTGTCAGAGCTTTATTTGTGTTCAATTCCCTCAGTTCCTTAAATACAGGATCCGATTCAGAAAATTTGTTAGGAGGAATAAAATTTCCTATGATGAATAAACCTTCTGCAGTAGTAGCTCGACTGTAAGCGACATATATTGAAGCTCTAGGCGTTCTGGGTCGAGTATGAACTACAACTTTATTATATGTGGCACCCTGATTTTTATGAATAGTTATTCCCTCAGCCGGAACAACTGGAAACTGATTTCTTTCAATTGAAATATGTTCATTTCTTTTATATTGAAAAGATTTTAAAACTTTTTCAATTGGTGTCCAAGAACTTTCTAGAGGATGAGGCTTTTTTGATGGTGCTATCAAACCAACAGAAGGTTCCAAAAATTTAATCCACAGGATTGTTGGAAAGGAACATTGGAAATCAATTGCATAAGTTGTCCAGCTGCCCCATTAACCAAGCCATCACACGTGTTTATATTCACTGTAATCATATATTTGGCGGATGTTATTAGTGTCAATTAATAGGGCAGTCCTTGCGTTTCAGAAGTTTTGAAAAGTTTAACTCTTTCCAAAATATTCTCATTTTCACCAATTCCTTTAACTGAGTCTTTTGCAATTGAAAGGATAGCTTCAGTTGGGATTCGACTGAGCTTAAGGGCATTGAAATTATTTGTCTCTTCATTGGACCAAAATAAATGTATGGCATCATCGGGAACTTCTTCGAAATTAACTACAGGAGTTTCAATGAGTGATATGTGCTCATTTGTCATAGTACCAGATGCCATATGGTTTAATGCAATTGCAAAGGTCTCATCCTCCCGTTGTGTCATTATTTCTGTTAATTTAAAGTATTTAAATAACTTCGACAAAGGGAAACCAACAAAAGTGCTGTATGCATCATTGGGATTAAGAGAGAATATCCATTTATCTCCAACAGGTGAGAGTTGTTTCAAATCACCAAACACGATGATCGGTATACCGAAGGGGCTGTCTGCTTTGAAAATTTGTTTTAATCTCGCATCAACAGAGCTAAACATACGAGCACCTACCATCGATATTTCATCAATTATGATTAATTTTAAGTCGATAAGTCTGAAATAAAATGAATTAACTGTGTCATTGCTAAGTGGCCTCAACTTTCTATTCAACTGATTAACAGGTAAAGAGAATATTGAATGAAGGGTCATTCCACCTATTTCGATATGCTGCTTTACCCGTAGGTGCGCAAAGAAGAACTTTTAAGGAACTTGGATTGGATCCAGGTGTAGAATTGTAACGATGGTTAAGTGCTTGATATATTGCAGATATCAAACTACTCTTTCCTACACCTGCACCGCCGCCAATGAACTCATAAAATGGGCGATTTGGTTTTAACTGGTGCGTCAAATGTGTCAAATAGGTTCTTTGCTTAGACTTTGAACTAAAGAAAATAATTTCTCAACTGGAATTAAAGGGGATAGTTTAATAAGTCTAATATTGCAATCAGATTCAGTGCCATTATCTGTTGAATCTTCACCATGCAAGTCCAGCAAATTTATATTTGGATTTATTTCTGGAAGTGCCAACACTCTGAACTCATTTTCCACTATAGGTAGTTCATTTTGCGCACCTTCCTCTAAATCTATTTCATTATAAAGACTTTCTAGAACATTTTCAAATTCTCTTTGCTCAAAAACATCATATTTTCTTTGATTTTCCTCAATTAGAATACGAATTGTTATATCCGGAAATACTCAACTCTGGCCAAATCTGGGTTAAATCTTTTATACCGAATAATACAAGGTTTGATACGTTTCTTAACAAAACCGCTACCGTCTTTAAGAGGTATGACAACCCCGCTTTCTGGTAAATTATCGTTTTCCCTCTCTTCTTCTTCAAGATCACTGTCTTGTGCTTTACTACTAGATTTAACATATACATAGATGCAAAATCAGCTAAACAAAGAGTTTCTAACTGATCGGATCTTTGAACATAACGGTCTGAAATACCGGCTACGAATATTTCAGTCGAACCTGAAGGAAGGTTCTAAAGTTCTGCTCTAGGTTTCACCATTCGAACACGTTCCCCAGGTCGAGAGGTATTTATAAATATTTCTGCATTACTTGCTTGCGAAAGATGGAGCCCAATGCAGCAATATACTGCTTCTTGTGCAGATACTTCTGTGCCTGATATAAATTTGTGACCTGTATGTTTAAGGTTTTGCTTAGCAGTATAATTTCCAGCATTTACCTCTGATATAGCTTCATTTAAAAGCCTAGAAACTCCCCTGCTAGACTTGTTAATATAATTAATTATATATGAACAGCAAGCATATGCATCCAGTATATATTGGATATCCATATTTGCTCTATGGAGTTCCAAAATCAGAGGATGTTAAGCGTTTATAAAACGATCCAGCAATTTTCTTTTAAGAAAATTTTAGGTTTTGTTAAATTTGATCTAAGGGCTAACAACTAGTCATCAAAATACATATTTATTCTACTATCAGAGAGAAAATGTTCAAAATCTCTTAAATTAGAAATGTCTTCTGTAGTCATATTTATATTTAAAACGTTTTGAATTTTGAAAAAGTTTTCCTTGTGTCTTTCTGAGTTTTGACTTGTTTCTGTAAGAGGTAAGAGTATTTGCGTTGAAGGCATTGGTGGATATGGTATACCAAAACGACAAAACTGTTGTCCTCTTATTTCCCTAGTACAAGACCGACTGTGGTTATGCTTTTGATAACCCAAATAATTTTCTAAGTGGCTAACCGAACCATCTGTAGAAATATAATTGTCA